CGCGGCAGGACGCCGATGATGCCAGCATTCCCATCTCCCACATTGATGGTAGGTGCCTTTCCCCAACGCTCCTTGGGCTTCTGAAGAGCCAGCCACGGTGGCGTGTTAGAGACAGACAGCAGAATGGCTGTGAAGCCTTGTGCAGAGGGCAGATGTCCCCTTTCTTTGCGATGGAGATCAGCCCCCTCTGGAATGGGAATCCCCTTGTTTGTCTCTGTAGCAGGAAATGCGTCCAGGGCTTGCTGGCTGCGTTATTTTCATTTGCGCAGTGTTTACACTGTGCCAGGTGCTGCTCTAGGCTCTTTACAGATGCTAACTTGTGTAACCTCATAAACAACTCCAGAGTGGGCAGGTTGTCCTCATTTTATGTTTGGACAAGGCAGTTCGGGTGCAGAGAGGTTAAGCAGTCTGCTCCACCTCAAGCAGCTAGTACTAGCAAAGTCAGGAGCTGCCTCCAGACCCCCGGGCCCTAGTCTGTGCGTTAACCTTTTTACACTCTTGTTGCTCCTCAGATTTTGGCTTGTTTCCCTGACTATCCCGGTTACAGTTTCTGGGCTTTTCTTAATGTTTCCTGAGGAAACGTCAGCCCATTATCACCTGAGCTGATAAATCCTGCATTGTGTCAGAGATAATGAAGATTTTTACAGACAATACCATATCTGTTCAGAATCAAACATTACATTAAGTATTTTCCCCCAAGAGAAGTTTAGCTTTTCTTTGTTCCCCTCTGTGCGAGTGTGCTCTCTCGTGCCCTCCCTGGGGGCGTCCTGCAGTAGGAACCTACAGTGCCTCTTCACCTGAGCCTGATTGCCCGTTTCCATCTCAGATGTTCTCGACATGGTGGATGTGCTGGTGGAGGGCAGCGAAGGCTTGGATGAGGAGATTGGCTTCGTACTGAATGAAGACATGATCCTTCTCACGTTCCCGTTCAGTGCCGTGGTCCCCGCCGCCCTGGAGGCCAGGAATAAGCTGCTCCTTGGAACAGAAAGCGAAGCAGGTACCCGTGTGTGGTCAGGGTGTTCTGGGTTCGTCAGGCCAGCTGGGTCTCTGGAGGGTAGGAGCTGGGCTTCCAGGGGCTCTGGAAATAATTGCTGCAAACCCAAGGCAGCGAGGCTTCAGACCCACCACAGCGAGAACGGCCCCGCGGGGAGAGCTCAGGGAGCAGGAATAGGGGTCTGGAGGCTGACGAGGCGGTCGGGGAGGCGGGTCCTCTGACAGCCGAGCCTGGAGTTACGTGTTTGCATGGCTGCAGACACCTGCTGTCACACCAGTGTTTTCTCTTTGGTGTTTATTCATGGTTATCTTGATGCTGAGCGCTGCCCTGGTGCCCCAGATGGTAAAGAACCCGTCTGCCAATGCAGGAGACCCAGGTTTGGTCCCTGGGTCGGGAAAATCCCCTGGAGGAGGGTATGGCAACCCACTCCAGTACTCTTGCCTGGAGAATCCCTGGACAGAGGATCCTGGAGGGCTGCAGTCCATGGGGTCACAAAGAGTCAGACACGACTGATCAGCGAACACACACGTGATGCTGAGGGACCAGTCCTTCCTGGGTGTCCAGGAAACACAGACCAGAGGAAGCGCTCACCGATCAGTGGCGTCATTCAGTCAGGGTCGTTCGGGATTTGCTGCAGTAGCAGATATGTCCCAACGCGTCAGTGGTTTAGGGACGAAGGGTCTCTTGCTTGACCTTGTCCAGGTCAGGTGCTCTCCTGGGTGGTTGTCGTCCAGGAGATCACAGCTGCTCCCATCTTATTATCTGTGCCATCTCAACATATGGCGCCCAGAGTGCCTGTGGAAGGGGAAGAGAATGGACAGTCCCACGGGGTGCTCTGGCCAGGCCCGGCAGTGGCGGAGCCGGTCGTGGGGTCCCCACCTGACTGCAGGGAGGAGGCCGTGTGCCGAGGAAGAGAGGAAGCGGCTAGGTTGGCATCAAGCAGATCCCGGAGGCCTTGGCTTCACCTCTTCCAGTCCTGGGTCTCCCACTTCTGGGCCTCCGCACCTGCAGTCTGACTGTGTGCTGTATGTTTACGTAAAAGTCTGGTGTGGTCTGCAGTGGTAGCTTCGCCTTCCAATGAGGTTGTGTGATTCCTTAGAGTCGTGATGAATCTTTCTGGGCCTCAAATTCGTGTGGGAGTTGGGGTAACTGATGGTCCCAGCAAGCTCCTCTCTCCCACACAGGAGAGAGCATCATGGCATATCTGACCAGGGTTCTCACAGACCTGCTCCACACCCAGAGAGACCCGCTGGCCCTGTGTCTTCTGCTTCAGTCTTACGACCAGTTGGAGCCTCCGAGCCTGCCTTGCCGCCGCCAGCTGTCCCAGTTCAACAGATACTACAGCCTCTGGATCCCGGAGCCAGCCCGCAAGGCCCCGGTGAGCCGCGGCGACCCTGTGGAAACCAGGCCTTCCTTTCCCTGGGAAACCCCAGAGGCCCCTGCCCATGGGCCGCAGCAGCCTGTACCGCAGCTGTGTAGCTCACGGGGTGAACTTTCTTCACCTTCTCATTTTCCTTGGTTGGAAGAGGAAGCACAGTGGTGGTCAGCTGACGTGTCGAGATTCAGAGGGGCTCAGTGGTGCGGCAGA